CATTGTTGTTTGGCGGGCCCAGGCTGGGGATTCGAACCCGCCACCTTAGGTGTATGTGGCTGGCGCCTTAGCCGCTTGAGCCGAGCCTGCAGCCTGACATTTTTCAGACTGCATCTTTTCTATTAAAATATCAATTGAGCCCACCCATCTTTAAGCAAATGTATGATATGTGTAAGTGGCGTATACTTTGAAATTCAGTCACAGTGAATTTCTAAAGGATGGGTGACTGCAATAGACAAAAGGGCCTCTGTTCAATGAACTTGCATTTAACAGTTGAAGTTTTACTTTATTACAGAAAAATATTCACCTCATCTCAATGTATCTGGGTATCTAGATTTTACTTAGCCTTGCAACATTACTTCTGTTTTAGCATTGATTTTAGGCAGGCAAATAAATTTACTGAATTCGGGATTTAAAAAGTGATTTATTTACATTTTAACTATTGGTGATCTTGCAGCTTTAGATAGGGAAAATTGGTATAGACTTTTTGGAGAACTTTGGCAAAATTTAAAATTTGAAATGTACAGTCTCACTTCTAGGAAACAAGGGTAGAGCAGTGTAGTTCCCAGGGTGTCCCTGAAAGCCCTTCAGGGGTTTAGCGGTTAAAGCTATTTTCATATTAATATAATACAAAGATCTTACTTGCGTCCTTTACTGTGTTGGTATTTACAGTAATGATGCAAAAGTAAAGCAGGCATCTGAGCATGAATCAAGGCACTGAACTATACTAAGTAGCCGTTGTATTCTTCATGAAAAAAAAATCCTACTTTTCACTAAAGAATGTCTTTGATGAAGCAGCAAAAGCTATTACTTTTATTAAATCTATATTCTTGTCTTTTTAATATTTTATAGGATGAAAAGGGAAGTACTTGTAAAGCACTTCTGTGTACTGCAGTATGATGGTTATCTCTAGGACAAGCATGGGGAGCTGTTTGAGTTGCAAACTAAACTAGCCAGTTTTTTCATGGACTACTATTTTTACTTGAAATTTCATTGACAAATGAACTGGTTATTCAGACTAGAAAATGTATGAAGGAGTCTTTTCTTTCAAGGAAAACGATGGATATTTATTGCCAGTGATAAAATTTTCCCATTGCAGTAAAAATTAGGATTTTGGAGAACTTGTGTAGATTATTGTGATATAAAGATCCATGGTAATATTGAGAGATGTGAAATTTTAATATCTAGAAATTTACTTGGTAGAGCTATATAATCAGCAAACCACTATTTTCTAAATGGTCACCTCATGACATAAAATCACACACATGTAACGGATCCATTCAAAGTGCAAGATGGACCAATATATTTCAGTGTAACAGAGTACAAGTTTGTTGGTGTGGTTTCAGATTCTAACTGGCAACCAACCTTTAAGAGTTTTCACTGAGTTTTGGTATAGCATCAAAGAAGATTGTCTACAATTACCTTTTTGGGGGGGGAAAGTTAATTTTCTGGCAATAATAATAATATTTATTTATAAATGAATACATATTTTTTAAAATTTTAGTTTTCATTTGTAAATGATAAATATTGATGTGATAACTTATGTAAAGTAAAGATGTTTGGGGCCTTCAGTAATTTTCAGGGTATCACAAGGGCCTGAGATGAAAAAGTTTGAGCACTATTGCCACAGAAAATCTATCCAGAGGGCACATAAGGATGTTACTGCCTACAGATACTAAAGTTCTGATACTAAATGAAGTCTATGTTGTGGTATTGGAAAAAAGCAATTTGGAGATCAGTTTGTATGGTATGACCCCATTTTTGTAAGACAGAAGTATCTATTTGTATACGTGTAGGAAAAAAGTGTGGAAGGGTTTTTATTTATTTATTTATTTATTTATTTGAGACAGAGTCTCAACTTTGTTGCAGTATGTGCTGTGGCGTCACAGCTCACAGCAACCTCAAACTCCTGGGCTTAAGCCAGTGGTTCTCAACCCACAGGAACTGTATTAAAGGGTTTTAGCATTAGAAAGGTTGAGAACTACTGGAAGCAATTCTCTTGCCTCAGCCTCCAAGAGTCTGGTTATTTTTAGAGACTTGTCTCACCCCGGCTCAGGATGGTCTCTGAACCTATGAGCTCAGGCAGTCTACCTGCCATGGCCTCTCAGAGTGCTGGGATTACAGGCGTGAGCCACCGTGCCTGGCTGTGGAAGGGTTTTTAAACAAAATTGTTATTTCTAGGGAACTGAAATTTAGATGGAATAGGAGAAAACTTTCACTTTTTACTTTATATCTGTAATGTTCTAAATGCCTTTTTACACCAAACATATCATGTTGTAATACAAAAAATATAACGATTTAAGCTTTAGGCTCAGCGCCTGTGGCTCAAGTGGCTAAGGCGCCAGCCACATACACCTAAGGTGGCGGGTTTGTATCCAGCCTGG